AAAAAAAAAAAAAAAAAAAAAAGCATTGTGCTATGACTTTAAGTGTTTTTTTCAGTAATTTTCCTTTTTTAAAATCCTAATTAAATTGAAGAAAACTTTTTAAATCTTGGAGTTAGGAGTGAGGGTTTGTTGAGATGCTTTTCTAGGAGATAATATAATTATGTTCAAATGTAAGCTCAATTGTTGAAGTTGTCTTATAGGTTTGTTTATCTTAGGAGAACATACCTGTCATTTGTTAATCTTTATCTTTACTTTTTAGGTTAGATGGAGTCAGATTTGAAAATGAAAAGATTAATGTTATTGCCAGGAAAACTGGTAATAAACTGAAACTGAGTCAGAAAAAATGGTAAGTCATAAAATGAAGTTTTCATTTCTGGGTTTGGCACAGAAGCATGGATATAGAGCCCTTCCACCTGTTTTGTTTTGTTTTTTTTAAATAATTTTATTGAGACACAAATAGCAATGAGACAGTTTCAAAACTGATTACTAGCACAGTTTCAATAATGAATACATTACATATTGTTGTGTTAGTGGTTATTCGTTGTACAAGATGCAGACATGATATCCTGTCCACGAACACTATTGGAATAAATCTCTCTATTCATTGAATTAAGAGAATGCAACTATGTATTTATCCTATTTGAATATACAGAAACAAAATGGTTGTTCATTTGTATCTACCTTTTTTGTTTAGTTTTGTCAGAGAAGGATATTCCATTGTCATTTAAATATTGTAGGTGCATGAATTCAGCAAAATATTCCAGTATAGTCAGTAGTCCATAGTAGTAGTGAGGTTTTCGTAAGACTGGCAATGTCAGAATTTGTTGACTTGAACCTTTTACAGCCCAGCATATTAATATGGCTTAACTTTTTATGCCTTGTGTTTATACTTTTCTGCTGGATGGTTAAGACCAAGATAATGCAAGACTTATGTAACAAGAAATGTAGCTTTTGTATCGCCCCTCGGTACTTGTTAAGCAAAGTGCGTGATTAGGTGCCTTCTTACCTTTTCTAGTCTTCATTTCTAAAACTGTTGGAGATCTTTTGAGGTGATCGATAAAACCATTGATTTCTCACTAAGACATTGAAAGAGTTTGTTTCTTCTGCTTGAAGTTTATTCTTTCTAATGAAGAGAGTAATTTTCACTTTTATTTTTTCTTGCTTAAATTTTGTGTTTTGCTAGAAAGAGAATTTAACATAGACCCCAGACCATACTAATTATGTATTTTCATTCTTAAGCTTATTTCCTTTAGTAAAATTTTTCCAGGAATAGATATACTGAGTATATTTATGATAAAGAAGTTTTGTGTTAGGTATTTGTACTTTGTAGGTAAAAGGTTTGGAGAAACCCAAACTGTAAGGGCCTCTAGGCTGTTTGGCACAGGATAGGTTATACAGAAAGTAGTTGAAAAGGTTTCAAGAGATGTAATTTAAATGTTAATTCCTTGTACGAAATAAAAAGGAAAACTTGAATACTTGTATTTATCTAAACTTAGTTGCCTTTTCAAATACTACCTTTGTTGTAGGAACTTATCTGATGTGGAAGGAGATAAAGTACTCTTACTTTATTTACTCATTTTTTCCTTTTTGAGACGGGGTCTCACTGTGCAGCTTCGCCTTGAGCGCACTTCTAGTCCGGCCGATCTAGAACTCACAGTCATCCTCGTACCTCAGCCCCCCAGTGCTGCGATCACAGGCGTGTCTGTGTTGTTGTTTTCCATAGCTCTACCACTTGCTTGTTCCCCTCCCCTCCTAGCCCCTCTACCTTCCTCCCCCTTACCCTTTCTTTCCAGACGGGGTCTTCTCTGTACAGTGCAGGCTGGCCTTACAGCAATCCTGCCTCAGCCTTCAGAGTGCTAGGATTAGAGATGTGTGCCACACCATGCCCAGCTCTACCACATGAGAAAAAAAATAAGCTAAAGTTAAGCCAAATTTTATAGCATTAGATTTGCTAAGAATGAAGAAATCATTTTTGCTTCAATTAAACTTTTTTTTTTTAAAGTTCTTTTCTATGCGATGTGACCATGAAATCAGTGGATGGAAAGGAATTTCCTTGTCACAAATGTGTCCTTTGTGCTAGACTTGGTAGGTATACTTTCTGTTAACTGCTGAACTATTTGTTTTGGTATCACTTCACAGTCATTGTTGTCTTGAGCTTTCTATTTTTCTTTCAGAATATTTTCATAGTATGCTGAGTAGCTCCTGGATTGAGGTAAGGTTTAATTAGAAATCACCTGGGCTAGTAGCGATACTGTATATTTGGGGGAAATTATATACTAAAGAAGTATAGTATTAGAACTTGATTCTGTAACTTAGTTTTTCATTTACGTTCAACTTATATTTATGTGTAATCCTACTGGATAATAGCATTTAGAAGTTATAACTCTTACAGTTACCTAAATAAAAAAAGTTTCCATTATTATTAAGAAGTATATTAGAAGATGTGTGTGGTTTTTTAGATTTTTATTTGATTCCTTTTTTTAAAAAAAAATGTATTGGTACAGGCTCTCACTATGCAGCTCAGATTTGTAGTGACCTTGTTTTCAGCTTCCCCAGCACTGGGATTACAGGTGTATGCCACCACGCCTGGTGCTTAGTCTTATGTCGCCAGCCCTTGTTCCCATATTTTATGAAAATTAAATATACTGTTCTATTTTAGCTTAGTTTTATAAATTCCATATTCTTTGCCTTTGATAGTATTCACTATTTGAATTTTTATATTCATAAGTCAAATTAGAAGATAGTATTTAATCATTTAAATTACTTATTTTCCTTTATTCAGGCTTCCAGTTGTGCAGCTCTGGAAATGCCAATACATTCTGACATACTGAGAGTTACTTTGGACTACCTCTATACTGACGAAGCTGTGGTGATAAAAGGTACCAACAAGAGCAAGTTTTAGGCATTTTGTTATATGCGATAGTGCTAGAATCAACATGAATCTTAATTTCTACTTGAAATCAGCTGTAGGGCCTTAATTTGGAATAAGCAATAGGGATGATTTTAACAGTCTAAAAATTGAAAAAAAAGGTTTCACATCTTCTTCAACTATTAAGAATTTTATGTAATGTTTGAAATTAGATTTTGTAGAGCCATGTCCATCTGCCTCTGACTGAAATGAATGACTGACAGCAGAGAATATAGGGGTTTTCTTGGTAGTGGGGATTGAACTCAGGACCTTGTACTTGCCAGCCAGGCACTTGTGTTGCTGAGCTATCTCCCTGGCCTGAGAATATAGTTTTGACAAATTCTTTACCTAAGTTCTTTCTTGCCAAATTTCTCCCCTTAAAATAACCTCAGAGGTAAAAAAGAAATAATAGATTAAAGAGTTGAAGTGAAATGAATGAAGAAACTGCATTTTTATGCTTTATCAGGCAAACTGCCATGCTTCAGGGAGCAGCAACTTTGTTGCAGTAGTCTCAGTGTTCTGTGGTGCTCATTTTACCACAGCTGTAGGTTGAGGATAAAAAGATAGGAAGATTCTGTTGTGTTCATGTGGAGAATACAGCCATATAATTTAAAGAAGGATAGTTGAACAGAGTAATTATCTTGGAAATAAATGCATATTAAAGAAACTAGCATCTGAACCTGCTTGGTGAAATCTGGGTAGTCTTTGTAAAGGAGATAGTGCTTTATTTGGGGTCAGGAGTTGTTCATGCACCTAAGAGTGTACCCAACAGAGAGTGGTATTTTTCTGTTTATCTAATGCTTTTTAAAAATTGAGATGTTATTCTCATACCCCAAGATTCTTTTGTGTTTTGTTTTTGATACAAGGATTCCTTACATATTTCAGGCTGGCCTGGGACTCACAATGTAGCCCAGGTTGGCCTTGAATTTACAGTGATCCTCAGGATTATAGATGTGCAACACCACAGCCAACCAAATTCATACTTTTATGACATTTAAAGAAGCTATTAGTATATAGTTAGAGATTGTACATCAGCCTCCATTTGTAGCTCAAGAGCATGTTCATCACTTCCCGTAGAACCCGCACACCCAGCAGCAGACAGCTTCATTCTTCCTCATCTGTAGCCCCTGGCAATCAAGGGAGAAGTTAATTTACTTTTTGTCTGTTTTCAAGGTGCATCTGTTTTATATAGCATGTAACAGTGCTTTATTACTTTCTACTGAAAAGTAATACATCCATTAGCTAGATATACCAGTTTATTTTAGCTATCTATCAGAGCATGGTTGTTTGTTATTTTCACTTTTGGCTATTATGAATAGTGTTTCTATGAATACTCAAGCATAAGTTTTTGTGTAGCCTTATGTTTTCATTTCTCTTGCACATATATATCTACGAATAGAAATGCTGGTTCATACGCTAATGCTCACATTAACCTTTTAGGAATTATGCATTTATGAAGTGGCTGCATTATTTTAGCTTTCCCAATAGCAGTGTGTGAGGTTTCAGTTTCTCCACATCCCAGCTGATACTGTTTAACGTCTGCCTTTTTAATTGTAGTCATCCTAGTGCTTATGAAGTAGTATGACATTATCGCTTCAGTATTTACTTTTCTAATGATGTTGAGTGTTTTCATTTGCTTTATGAGCATGTGTATATTGTCTTTGAAATTAAAACAATTTTTGATCACTTGCATTTGAACTGTCTTTTTTTGTAGGTTGTAACAGTGCTTTATGTAGTCTAATTTTTGGTCTTTTTGAGTTGTCTTTTTACCACATTGTAATACTTCTTTATCTGTTCTGGCCACTAAGACTTTTATTAGAGATAGGATTTTCTTCTGTTCTCTGGATTGTACTTTCATTTTCTTTATCGTATGTCCTTGAAAAAAATCAAAGTTTTAAACCTGGTAAGCTCAGTTGCCTAATTTTACTTGTTACTCACGCTTTTGGTTTTCGACCTGAGACTCCATTGCCAAATCTGCAGTCATCCCAGTTACTCCTTTTATTTTCTCGTTAGAGGGTTACGGTTTTAGGTGGGTCACTCCTTTTGTGTCCCCTATCTTTTCCTTGTATATGATGTATAACTGTTTTGGTATATGAGGTGCAATCAGAATATATGGTAAATGTTTAATTTTTTTTTAAAAGTTGTTCTTCAAACACATCCCATTGCTCCTTCTGCTTTCTGAAGCAGTTCTGCAGTCTTCCGTTACATCTTTACAAGGTCTGATCATAGATGCAGCGAAGGCTGCTACTGTTGGTGCAGTGTGTGCCTTCAGCCTCCATGACCATGCTGGACTGCATAACTCCCAATTCTCTCCCAAAGTCAGAATCACCCTGAAAGGTGAACATTTTCAATTAAGGTGGGACTTGAGGCAGCCATGGCAGGGCAATTCAGGATGCAAAACAGGAGCGCAGAACTATTTCAGAAAGTGGCAGGGTGGATAGAACATAATGGTAGTGAGCATTGTGTTAGTGAAATGACATTATGACACACAGGCTCAAGTGTGCACAAAGCCGACAGCATCAGTCTTCACTGCCTCCCCCTGGCTGCTGTGCAGCAGCAGCCTTCCCTGCACAGGGTTTTTCTTACGAGGCAGCAAATAGAGACAAAATAGGAAGGAGAAGTTTAGATACTTTTTCAAATGACAAATTCCATTGTTTTAACATTTTAGTATGTATGCAAATTAGTTACATTTATGCTACTGGATTATTTTAAATTGTTGAAAAGAAAGGTTTGTGTTATTTATTCTTTTTTTCTAAGTATCTTTTTAGTTTATGTGTTACACTCTTAGTAATTACTGAGTAACTATAGTAGTTACTGCAGTAAATTTTTAAAAAATTAAATATTAACCATAGTTGTGATCACTCCTCATATGTACATTGTCAAATGTTTGCTACAACTAAGCTGATTAACATATGTTTCACCTGAGTTAGCTTTTGTGCGTGGGGGAGCGTACGTGCTACATTATTATTAGCTGTAGTCACCATGCAGTACATTAGGTCCCTAAAACGTGTTCTTCATCTGACTTCAGACTTGTATCTTTTGATGAACACCTCTATTCTTGCTGCTTCTGACCCTGGCAGTCACTTTTGTCATTGTGTTAATATTTTTGTATATGTTTAAGAATGATACTTCTTTTATGTGTGTGTGTGTGTGTGTGTGTGTGTGTGTGTAGTGGTTTTAGTACCATTTGTTGAAAAACTTTTGTTTCCCTATTGATTTATGTTGGCATTTTTGTCAGAAATCAGTTTATCTAAATACAGGGTTTTATTTCTTGTCTTTCAATCCTCTATGCTTCTCTCTCTCTCTCTCTCTCTCTCTCTCTCTCTCTCTCTCTCTCTTTTAGTGGAACCAGGGGCTGAACTCAAACCCTTGCACTTGCCAGGGAAGCGCTTATTCTACTGAGCCATTTCTCTGATGGCTCAGAATAAAACTTCTCTTTATTCTAGTACCATACTGTTTAGTAACTATTGTGTTGTAATATGTTTTAAAGTTCAGATACATGAGCTGTCCTACTATTGATTTCTCAAGATTGTTTCAGCTATTTCGACTCTTGCATTTTCATATGAATTTTAAAATATTTCTATAAAGAAGGCAGGTGGGATTTGACTGGGAGTGACATTGAGTCTGTATATCAATTTGGGGATTATTGACATTTTAACAAATACTTTTTAAAAATGATGGAGAGATGGTTATTGGGAATGGCAGAACTTTTGAAATATTTCTTCCGTAAAAGCAATGAGGAGAATACTAAAAATCAACAAAATCAACTTTTTCAAGATTATAAAAAGCAACCAAAGTCTTGCAATAACTTGCAAGGTTAGTTAACAAAAAAAAAAAAAACTTACTTGAATATTTAGCAAAAACAGTGAGAATTGCGACTATGTAGCCTTTTAAGCTGAAATGACTGTCTTACGTAGTCCTGTCGTGTTATAGTCCCGGGTGAGTCAATACATTTGGGTGTTATTTTTCTCACCTTTCTATCTAAAAGGTAGAAATAGGGTGATGTTGTAAGTATTTATTTCAACATGTAAAAATAATCATAATTCTCTTTTCCTAAAGTGTTAAGATTTTTTTAACTAAGCATGATAGTTATTACAAAGTAACTGAATAATGCTTTTTTTCTTTCCTATTGTTAGAATCTCAAAATGTGGATTTCATTTGTAGTGTTCTTGTGGTGGCTGATCAGCTTCTTATAACTCGATTGAAAGAGATTTGTGAAGTAGCATTAACTGAAAAACGTGAGTGATTTTTGAATTGAAATATTGGTATGTTTTTGGATTGATTTAGTCCTGTCATGAGCGTAAAGAGAGTCCCTAATTTCCTGTGAATGCTTGGGATTCACTTAGCTATAACATCTTGTTTACTTTTAAGCATTGTGAACCATCTGTCATTGGTTATCAAAGAAAAGCACCCCTGGCTTCCTTTTAATAAGAAAAGAAACACTAAAATATAGGACCCAGCATCCAGTAGATGTAAGATACACATATATGTGCTATTTTCATGTGTTCAGTTGATTTTCTTGGCTTCACTCAAAAGTTTCTTTGCCTCTGGCACAACTGCCTCTTTATGAAGTTTTTGATTTTTCTAGAACCTAGCAAAAGAAGAGTGCACAGAATTTTGGTCTCTGATTATTGGGCAGGCCAGCCTGAACTTTGTTCAGATCTTTGTTCCCAGTTGAATAGCTCTAGAGAAGGTTTTGTAAGACCCAGTTTTATTATTTGCATGCTTTTTTTTTGGTTAATAATTGAAGCTTAGGAGTGAGGCAAAAAACATTTTTGACTGTAGTTAAAAAACTTTTGACAGAATACAAGAGAAAGAGAAAAAAAAAAAATAAATGGAAGACACCCATTGTAGAAAGCTTTATTCCTGTTAGTGGGACTTAAGGTCAGTCAGCAAAAGAATAAAGAGATTGGAAGCTAAATTTACATGTTCTGTAACTAGAATATGTTAGGAATGTCCTTAGCAAAATAGGATACTAGTATATAAACATACTAGGATTGTAAAGCATAGTACATCAGATTTTTTTCCTGGTATGGCCAATATTATTGGGAGATTTAATGTATTTCTTAAATATGTACTTACACAAATTGTTTTTGTGTGTGTGTGTGTGTGTTTGAGTCAGGGTCTTGCCGTGCAGTTTAGGCTGGCCTTGAGCTCACTTTGTAACCCAGGCTGGTCTTGAACTTGCAGTGATCCTCCTCAGTGCTGGGATTACAGGTGTGCACCACTATGCCTGGCTTTTTTATACACAAATTCTAACAGATCAGTTAGCATTAACGCATTTTCTTCTTATTATTATTTTTTCCATACCTGGGATTGAACTCAGGACCCTGCGCTTGCCAGGCAAGTGCTTATTCTACTGAGCTACCTCCCCGGGCACTACATTAATGCATTTTATTAGAATTGTTTCATCAGTTTCTCTATTCATAATATCTATTTCAATTTAATGTAAGAGGGCATACTTATAAAAATGAAAGGATGCCCATTAGTAAAGTTAAAGATATTCAGAAATTATTGGGTAGAGAATTGTCAGTTCTTGTGTGTTTTATATTTGTACCATTATGTTATTTTTGGTAAGAAAATGTTTTCTATTTTTCTTATTCTAATATCCAAATTGAAACTTAACACTTTAGTAATAAGCGTATTTCATTTGTTGTCTGAACAGGCATTTTATCTACTTTTGGAAATCTTTTCTTTTAGTTACCCTGAAGAATGCTGCTATGCTACTGGAATTTGCAGCTGTATATAATGCTGAGCAGTTGAAACTGTCCTGCTTACAGTTTATAGGACTGAATATGGCTGCGTTACTTGAAGCAAGGTTGGTATGACATTCTGCAAAGCTGCAATAGCAGATGTCAGTAATTTAAAAGTGAAAAACATTTACCTAAATGTAATTATAAATGCTAATTATTCAGTAGTTATAAACATTAGAATTAGAGGGACCTTAGAAATTTTAAAAGTGTTTTTGGCAAAGATTTTTTTAATGAGATTTTATACATCTTTTAAATAAAAGGTCACACTTGCTTTTACTCACTATGAAGTCAGTAAGAAAAAAGATATTTTGAAATACATGTTTGAGATTAGAATCCTTGCCATTTTCTGTATAAGGTTTTATCGTCCAGTTTATGTTTTTCAATAGTGATAATAATTAATATCTACTGAATTTTATGTGCCAGGCACTTTTCTATATGTGTTATATAAATTAACTCATTAAGTTTTTGTGAAAATTTATGCAGTAGATTCTATTAATATCCTTGTGTTACAAATGAGAAATCCCAGGAGTTTTTTTTCTTTAATTTTCATTTTGGGGGCGAAGTGTTTGAGAAACTCTTAACCTATGTAGTTATTGTAAAGTATGTAACAGCTTTCTAATATCTTTTCAAAGTTAGGATGATTTCTAATTAAGCTATTTCCAATACATGAATGAAATAAAGTCTTCCACTGATTTTTTTTTTTTAGATAATTATTGACAGATTTTTAATTGTGAATAGGGTTCAATTTTAAAAAAGAATATGCCTTTAAAGGCTTTATTTTGTTCTGAAAAATGCTTTAAATGTACATTATTGTTACAAGATTTTAGACCTTAGTTTTAAACACCTTAAATATCTTGAGTGGCTAGCTTTTCAAAATAAATGTAGTGTCATTGTTGACATTGCTAATTCTAGTCATAGCAATTTTATTACTCTGTATTGCCAAATTAAACTTATTCAGTTTCTCGGGCAAGAATCAACTAAAAGCAGGTTCAGGGGCTGAGGGTTCAATCTCTAGGCCTGCCATGCTGGTCCTGCCCCTGGGTCATGCAGAGACAGCTGTTGAGACTGGGTGTGGTGTCGTGCACCTGTAATCCCAGCTTTTGGGAGGCTGAAAACAGGCATATCACTACAAGTCTTATCTAGTAGTGAGACTCTGAACAGTTTGTAGACCCTTCCCTAAAATACCAAAAAAAAAGAAAAAAAGAAAAAAAAATTAATTACAAAATAAAAAGAAAGTTATATCTAAAATATTATATTATTAAATGATGTGTCACTGTTTTTCAGCTTTCATAAGTGGAGACTTGTGTTAACTGAGCCACTTAAGAACAGCACCATCTTTGGGCTGGGGAGATAGCGTGGCAAGCACAAGGACTGGGAATCAATCCCGGCACCACATTCCATGCAGCCCCAGAACCCCAGGTGCACTGTGCTGACACCAAAACCAGGCATGGTGGCGCCTGCCTGTAATCTGCGTGCTGGGGAGGCTGAGATAGGAGGATCACTACTAGTCCAAGTTCTGTAGTGAAACACCAAATGAATGAATGAATGAATGAATGATTAAAAAAGAAAGAATAGTGCCTACTATCATAATTCAACATGAATAACCATTTAAACATTTGTACAGATTTAACTGTTTTTACTCACATATGTGAACTCTGACGTACGTTTTCACTGATGCCTTGAAATACCTGTTTGGAACCCTGGAGGTCCTTGATTGAACTCTTACCTTGCATACAGCTGAGCTAGTCCAAAGCTCATCTTACACCTGAAGAAGCTCAGGACCGGAGAAAGGAAGCGAGTTTCAAGGTTATGAAGATAATATTGTAGATAGAATCCAGTTGTCCTTTGACTTTTGTTCTATTATTTTATTTTTATTTTTTGTATTTTTTAGAGAAGGGTCTACAGGGTGTTCAGGGTCTCACTACTAGATCAGACTCATAGTGCTCCGCCTGTTTTCAGCCTCCCAAGAGCTGGGATTACAGGCGCGCACCATACCCAGTCTCAACTGCCATCTCACCGCGCCCCGGGGACAGGGCTGCATGGTAGGCCTGGGGATTGAACCCCTGGCCCCTGTGCCTGCTTGCAGGTGCTTTAGTCCGCTGAGCTATTTGACTGGCCTATTGTTCTGTGATATAGTATTTTTTATATAAAGACTACAATGTGTGGAAAATTAAGTTTTGAGAATAATTTTTTGGTATTTCATCATAATCAAAATGGTTACTTATAGACATAACATTTTCTTGTTTCATTGAGTTTATTTTTATTGATAATACTCTGCTATTTATTTAAAATAAGTTCTTGCTACTTGAGTTAGTTAAGCAGAAGGAAAGTATATAGTAACTAGAATATAAAAAAGCTTGCAAAATACCTCACTTGGCAATGCAAAATATTTTGACATGTTTGAAAATTATACAGCTATTAAGTCACTTGAGTTTTAAGATGAAATTTTATTTCCTGATTTTTAGGTCTCTTGATGTTTTAAGCGATGAGGTTTTGAAGGATCTTTCTTTATTTTACCGAAAAATGGTAAGGATTTATGTTTTTCCAGTGATGATTTCAGTGAGCATAATGTTACCATCGAAAGCAGTGTAGGACAGCAGATTTGTGATTGGAATAATATATTGGGATCTTTTAGAAATGAGGACATATCTTTTATTTCAGAGTCCAAAGAAATGCGATAATCAAAATTAATGAGAATGATAAAATTAATCTTTTAATTACATCATAATGAAAGTTACTGAAAGTTGTAGTTTTACTTATTTTCCAAAGATCAGGATAGTGTGGAAACTTGCTTTCACATGATTCCTAAGAAATGGATTAATCTGTGTGTAGTAATAAAGCTTCTTTTACAAAGTTTTTTTCTTTTTTTAACACTCTTACGCAGTATACTTTTTAATGACAAATTTTCTTGTATGGTTCATGCAGGAACTCATTAGGTATTCTAGACCTTTTCTAATTAATGTCACCATACACTAAAAACAAATGGAATATCTTATTTTTTAATACAGTGTGCATAAATTTTGTATTTAAAAGTGACATCTTTAATTTTGTAGATTCCGGCAATGGATAGAAGAGTCATTACGCCCTATCAAGATGGACCAGATATTAGCTATTTGGACCTAGAAGATGGTGATATCTTTTTGAAAGAAGATATAAATGTGGAACAAAATTATTCGTAAGCTGTTTTCTTTGCAATCTTTCTTCATTTTTCTCTTTCCCCAAATCTTGGACACTTAACACAATTTGTATTCATATTGGAAGAATAACTTAAGGAATATATATTCATGTTCCTTTTTAGTCTTATAGTACAAAACAGTAAATATATAGTTTTTTTAAGTCTAAGAACTTTAGCTGAGAAGAGCAGAGTCTTTATGCTAAACAGATTGGGTTGAATTAGTGCCTTCATCTTAACTGCCTCCCCCATTCACTAGATTACTGTAAAGAAGTTTAAATAAGCATAGTACACTAGAGCACAGAGCGTAGTGAGACAAGTGGAGGACGTTAATAAGTTTGGAAGCTGGCAAACAGTTGCTGAGTAGTGATAACTTAGAAATTTGAAAGTGCTTAATGATCAGTTAGAGCAGGCCTGTGATGCCTCGTCCCTTCCTGCACGTCTCCTAGGCCCCACTCGGCTACGATGTTGCTCTCCTCCATCTACAGATTATAGATTTCCCCTCTGGAGAGTCTGAGCTAGGGAGACTGCAAAGAGGAGGCAGTGACCAACCGTGATACAGGTTACTGATTTTACAGGGTTTCTCTAGAGAACTTGCTGCACAGGTGGATGTGGTCTGCACTGACTGACATCTGGGAGCCCCAGCAGCATGCCCCGGCTCTGGCTGGTGCCCATCTCGTGGGCTCACCATGAGATGAGACTTGTAGAGACTTTCTCATTAGCGTTTGAGGTTTACTTACCTGTTGGTTATAATTTCCTTTGCTTTGTTTTGGCAGTTCTGAGGTTCCAACTTAGGACCTTGTGCTTGCCAGGCAGGCACTTAAGCTGCTGAGCTGTCTCCCTGGCCTTTCTTTCCTTTCCTAGTAGATGGTCAAAGTAAAATTTTTACTGCAGTTGTTCAGGTCATTTCCTATATATAGCTGTGTCTCACTGAAAGCTGCTCTTTGGTTCCAGAAGTGTTCTGTTTCTAATTTTAACTTTTTTTTTTTTTTTTCTTTTGGCAGAACTGGGGATTGAACTCAGGCCCTTGCACTTGCTAGGCAAGCGCTTATTCTACTGAGCTATCTCCCCGGCCCCAGATTTTAACTTTTGTTTCTAGTGTTTGGAGACATTTGGCATACTGATGTTTATGAATATCTGACTTAGACATATGGCATTTAAAAAAAATTGATATAAATAATTCATATTCTCTACAAAACAATTGTATTTAGAATTGACCTGTTATAGGTAAATTAAAATATACGATGAAATCTAATTTGTAGATAAAATAGCTTTGGCCTTCCCAGATATTTTATTTGTTCCTTCCTAATTAGTAGCACTTAATTCAGGGATTTAAGCATGCTTTGTAATGGTTTAAAAAATAATTAGCAGATACTTCTAGTTCCAAGAGTCAATCCCTGGTAGCAGCTTTCCGTGCGGCCTGGCCGTTGATCACATGTCTTTACTTCATCTTGGCCCAGCTGTGTGTCACTATACGGTCCTTGGTGCTTGCCTTGGAGACCATGGCCAGCTCCGTGGTGCACCGCTTATCTGTAGCAGAGCCACGTGTGACTCATGTAAAGTTGGTGTGCTTGGTGATTTGCCCATGGAGGCCACTGTGCTTTGGCCTCCTGTTAGTTTGGCCACCTTGTGGCCTTTGTTAAGGACCAGGACCATGGGATTAATACAGAGCTATGGCTGCTGCTCTTAGACAGGTACTGCAGCACAAACCACTGTTTTACCAGAATATGTATTTTCCTTCATGCCATCTTTTGTCTTTTTCAGAAATGTGAGGGTTAGAATAGGTAATAGTATCATTGGCCTTCATAAATTAGTATTTCAACAGCTGCCTCTGTAGGTGGCTTCAGTTTAACCAAAATGCTACATTTTCTTGATTAAGATGCATAGATTTTCTGTTTTATCTCTTAATGGTTTTCAAAAAATTACTTTTATGTTCCTTTTTTAGGGAAACTATGTTTAAGAAGGCAAAAACAAAAGCTAAAAAGAAGCCACGTAAACGTTCAGATAGTTCTGGGGGTTATAACCTTTCAGATATTATTCAGAGTCCACCATCTACAGGTTAGTGGAAAATGTTTTCGCTTGCATTTCTAGTTCAAATCAATCTTTGATAGTACTCTTCATTATCTAATTATAGTTGAAATTATTAAATATTATTTTTGTCCTCTGTTGGGGCTGCTGAGAAAAGAGTTTCACAAAGGCTTCAGTAACGGTAATATTGAGAAAAGTTCTGTAATTGAAGTTTGCTTTGCTGAGCAGGAAAGGGGCGTCCTGGGGAAAGGCAGCCAAGCTGAACCTTGAATGAAACTAGTCAAGGCAAGAAGGCTGGTAGACATACTATGTAAAGGGGCAGTGTACTCCCAAGCCTAGAGGCAGAAGATCCCACTGCAGGTTTCTTGTCTATAGGGCTCAGTGTGGCTTAGCCGCACAGGCTCTGTGCATATAGGAAAAAGATCTGCTAGGGTCAGATTTCGGAGACTAGTTGAACTAAGAAATTTGCACTTTATGTTAAAGCTTATGGGTGGCTATTAGTTTCTAAGGCTGGTTATGAATAGATACAATTTATGTTTTTAGAAAGACTTGCCTGTTCAATGACATAACTGGTTAAAATTAAATCAGATGCGATAGTTCTATTATATTGTTTTCACTCAACTATATCAAGATGTCATTTTTACATGTAAAGAGAAAATCTTGTAGTAGACTACAGCATATTTTATAGGAAAGCCCTGTTCTATGAGCCTGTTTCAAAGTAAGGGTTATGCAGTTTTACAAAAGTTCTTTTATAAATTACTTACTTTTAAACTTTTTTACTGAAAAGAAAAATACTGTGCTTACATATTTTTTATTCAGATTTAGTTACTTCTTAATATATTTGTGTTGCCTTCCAAATATCCTATAAACACATACACACACACACACACACACACACACACACAATCTGTGTGTATGCATGTGTATTGATGTGAGGCTTTCTTACCAGTCCATTTGGATTAATTTGTAGATATGATATATTCCCTGTTATAGTCAGGGCTTGCGAGGGAAAGGAATTAATGCAGGATGGTCCTATAATAAGTTATAGGATTATTTTACAGTACTCACCCAAAAGAGTCAGAACGAAAGAGTATGGGAGATCTGCCTCCACATAGCAACCAAGGCGTCCAGCTAGGACCTGGGTCCCATGGCAGTGTCCTGCTTGAGTCCAGATGAAAACCTAGAGCCATGCAGTGTCACCCGTGGGACTAGGGATAGCCCGCAGCCCGTGGCAGTGTCTTAGACAAGTCTGCATCACGGATCTTTGGGAACTTGCCAGTGATCTGAATTTCATGGAAAAGCAGATAGTTGGTTTAAATAATGTTGTTAGCACATGTGTTAGTGTCTTCTAATTTCAGGGTAGGCGAGACATTAGTGAAGAAATAATATGTCTTACTTTAAATCTGAGGTAGCAAGCTATAAGACCTTCAATTATTTGAGGTAGTGACAAAAAGAAATTTTGAATTTAGAATTTACGCTCTTGATTCCAGTTCCATATTCTTGAATACCATTCTTTCTTTGTCCAAAGGAGATAATGGTTAAAATATTAAATGTAATCAGAGATCCCCCAGACCTATTTATGAAAAAATTGAGCCTAAGAGAAATTATATTCAGAACAGTTTTTTGAGGGCCTGATGTATGTTAATCTTTAAATTTAGACAAGTAACATAGTGACCAAAATATAATTGTTGGTCACTTTAATAATCCACTTTGTTTGTTGCATATATTTCTGATTGACTTTTGAAAACACTTAAGTGTTAATGTCATCTCTCAGCTGAAATTTGCCAGCAGTACTCAATTCATAGGGGGAAAGTTTGAGTATTATTTTTATCTTAGCAGTGGTAATAGCGAAAGACTCAGCTTGTTAACGTGACTACCTTTAAAGGAAGCATCAGTTAATCCAGTGTATAAGAAATGGTATGTTTTATTTATTTTTCAGTCAATTGTGCAACTTTTACAATTCAAAGAATGTTTTTATGTCTTTATTCCAGTATTTCAGCAGACGTTTGAAGTGTATGAAAATGATCATATGAAATTAAACGCAGTCTTCCTCTGTACAGTACTCTGTTGTGTTTGAATGACTGTGCTCATGGACCTGGGTGTGGGTGTGGCACAGGTAGCCGTGTAGACTGCTTCAGGCACAGAAAAAGTGATGTATTCCGTGGTGGCAAACTATGGCATGCGTGCCACAACTGGCTGTTTGTTATCACTGAAAACTCTAAAAAGTTTGCCATCACTGGTACATACATTTCATAATAGCACTCTTACTGCAGTTGATAAGCTGATTAAAAATAGCTCTCAAATGCCAGAGATTTATTACAGGAGAAAAAAAAAGACCAACTCAAACAGGCCACCATGGCTTTCTGCAAAAGGTGCTGCTGTTAGGCCAGTCTGTGGCTAAGTGAGAGTAGCAAAGGCCACAGTTTTCCTCTCACACAGAAACAAGCAGCTCTCTTCTGAATGGGTGTGGAAAGGCAGACAGATGAGGAAGGAGAAGGGGCAGTCTGGAGCTTCTTGGTTTCTTTTTCTCTTCAGTAGGTAGAGGTTTTCAATCATTTCTTTAAAGCATATCCTAAATAACCATCTTCCACAGATTCATTATATAATTGATAATTATAATGAATAAAAGTACAGTTTTTTGTTTTTGTTTGTCTTTTGTCCTTTTGAAATAGGGTCTCATTTTGCATTTGAGGCTAGCTTGAGCTTACCTTGTAATGCAGGGTGGCTTCAAACTCATAATGCTCCTCCTGCCTCAGCCTCCTGGGTGCTGGGATTATAGGCTACCACATCTGGCCAAGTTTTATAATCATCTTAATTTCAGTTTTTCACTTAAATTATCTTTCTGCAGTTACCTTGAATGATAAGATTTTGGTACAGAGTATATAATTTAAATATTAGTATTTCTGCACAAATGGAAACTTGACTGACTGTCATGCATACATATTTAATGCTTGTGTGTAAAATTATGTTTTGAAATTTCATATTTTAGGATTATTAAAATCTGGTAAGACCAATTCTGTGGAATCTCTTCCAGAGCTCTTGACATCAGACTCTGAAGGCAGTTATGCAGGAGCTGGTAGTCCTAGAGATTTACAGTCACCTGATTTCACCACAGGATTCCATTCAGATAAGATTGAGGTTTGTTCTGTTAAACACATTTCTTACCTTCGGTTTTCAAATCTGTAGATAGTTTACTTTTATTTTTTCCTTTTGTTTGCAATTTTAGACAATGTCTTGAGTTATAGGAAGATAAAAGTAATGTAATATAGCTAGTGGTACTTTTTTCAAATTTGCAAAACCTTTCTAGTTTTAATTTTAATGGTAGTTTTGAGGTGTTTATTTTTTCTTTCACAAGCTGGAATGATCAAAGTCTTGTAATTGACATTGAATTATAGGATCTTTGCCTGGTCAACTCATCTTAACATTTTATTCCACAGTTTCTAATTTGTAGGGGTAGAAAATGTTAAGCTTTTTAGAGATAAAATCATTTTTCTCTAATCCACAAACATACTAGAATTTCTAGAAATTTGTGAGACACTTAACATCTGCTCTTTCTTCTTAGAGGGTTTCAGACTTCAAGGACTGAGCATTTTTGTTGTGGGGTGGAAGGTAGTTGTTATTCATGTAAGGTTAACCTGGGAGACAGTTGTGGTCTAAAGGAAGGTTGAAGGTGTGCCAAGAATGTCTTGCTATCACGGCGGGGTCTCTCTTGGCAGTGGAAATACTGTTACTAACCTCAGCCTAGTATAACAGCAGTAGTTTTTCTTTCTTCTTCTTCTTTTTTTTTTTTTAACATGGCTGGCTCAGCCCACCCTTGGATGTGGGGCTGGCAAAGCATGCGGTGCTGGGGACCGAATCGTGGTCCCAGCACTTGCCTAAGCCAGTGCTTTAGACCACTGTGCTGTCTCGCCAACCCCAATAGCAGTAGATTTTAGGAATTGTATTAGTACATATTTACAATACGTAGCGATCATATTCATCACGGAGAGTTGATAAATGCGCACACCACGTCTCAATTCCTTCCCCCCCACCTGCGTCTCTTGGTCCCTTCACTTTGCTATTTTTTTGTTGTTACGGGAATCAACCTCAAGATGTTGCACTTACCAGGTGGGCACTTGTGCCCCCAAGCTGCACCCCAGTCTTCAGTGCAAAAGGTGGCTATAGGGTCCTTTTTGAACTGTTAATACTTTTTGACTTTATTTTATTCAAAGTATTTTAATTATCTTGAGAGTACATTATATGACATACCCAATTTTCATTTTGTTTCTTTTCTGTATTCACAGATGTTAATTTTAAGGCCAATACTTCATATTTTATTTGTACAATTTTTATTTACTAACTTTATATATATAAACAGAAATTTAATGTGCAAACTTATTTCTATAAAAATCATTTTCCAGGCTGATAGTCCATGATATAGTTTGGGAATTCATTGAAGAAATAAACTATAGAAGAACATGCATTGAAAATGCTAGATGATTTATTGCCAAAAGATTTTACTATAATCTTTCTCAAGTAGTTACTGTATGTTCGCTGGTCATCTGGGTGCCTGCTGTTACTAACTTTTTAAATGTTTTTTTCTTCTCCTAGGGGAAAGTTAAACCATATATTAATGGTGTACCTAACACATATTCTAAGGAAGAGGTAAAACCGTGGGAAAAATCACCAGTACTTAAAATATCTGCTCCCCAGCCCATCCCCAGTAGTAGAATTGATATGACGAGCTCTTCCACTTGGCTTGCTGGCTCTTTCAGGTAGGATTTTCATTTTGTTTTGGACATAAACACTGCTTTTTAGTCAGATGAAAAATTTTAATGAAGTATGGTAGTATTTTTAATATAGAGAAAATTACCTGTATATATACACATAGCTAAAATTGCTAGCCAGCTATAAAAGGGTTTACCCCTGATAAGATTTGGTTGTATTGTATTATTGTTGACGAATACTAGCAAATGCTGAATTTGTACTTAAACGTGAATATATGTACATATATATGTGCACACATTGGACATGTATATATACACTGTACATGGGTGTGTGAGAGTGAGGGAGAAAAATATCAGGAGTCTGGAGAAGTAAGAATGGAATAATACTAATTAATGGACAAAATACTAATTATAGTTAGGAGGAAAAGATCCTATTTTGCTGCAAAAATATGGTAACTATAGATACTGATAATGTACTATTTATTGAAAAAAAAAAACAGCTAGAAGAAGGGATTTTGAATGTTTTCACCATAAAGAAATGATAGACGAGGAACTAGGTTTACTTTGTGTGTGTACCTTATGGAGTGTGTATATGTATAGAAACGTCACACAGTGGACCTACGAGCACGTGCATTTTCTGTGTATCACTTAAAAATTAAAAAAGCAAGAAACGCTCTTCTCTTGAAAACTTATTTATTGTCTGTCTTCCTTCCTTCCTTCCTTCCTTCCTTCCTTCCTTCCTTCCTTCCTTCCTTCCTTCCTGGTCTTTTTGCAACAGGGTTTCGCTATGCAGTTCAGGCTGACCTTGAGCTTTGTAGTCCAGGCTGGTCTCATTCTCACAACAATCCTTCTGCCTCAGCCTCCCGATTGCTGGGGTTACAGGTGTACACCGCCACGCCCAACTCCAGGAGAACCGTTTTCTTATTTGATAAGCTTTATGTTTGAGGCTGTCACAAGGGCATTTAAAAGCTCAGAAAATATGTTGCTATTCACAGTTAATTTCCTCAGGTTATTCATTTAAGGTTATGCCACCTTTGAATGTGCCTCTTTACTGCACACATTTTTTACTGAGAAGAAAATATGAAGGAATAGGTGTAATAGAATTCAGTTTGTGTTCTTTCATAGAGCTTTTTGAGATTGTGTGTCATTTTTTTTTCTTTCCCCCAAGGTACTAAAGATTGAACTCAGGGTGTTCATACAAACGTTGTTCTTCTGAGATCGGGCCTTGCAGAGTTGCTGAGTTGTCCAGGCTGAGCTCAGAGTACTTCTACCTCAGCTGCCGAGGGTGCTGTGGTTACAGGCTGTGTCACTGGGCCTGGTCCTAAAATTCTTATTGATTTACTGTTAACATTTGCACAGTTTATATCTGAAAATGGTTATGATGTTCCAGCTTATGTTGCTTTGAGGTTTAAAGATAGCTCAGAAATTAGTCTCAATATTTTACCTGTCCTAAGTAAATACATTGAAACAAAACCATAATTTGGGAATACCTAGAAATATCTTCTAATTGCTAGTGTTAGAATATTTTGTTAATGTGTTTTAAGAGTAACTTGGTAAAGTCAACAACATAAGCTGCCAGTGTATTTTAGTACAGTGCCCACTGACAAAGTGTATAGCAATATGTGGTTAGTATTCTTAATATATATACAAATTTTTCTGTGGACATCTGAAGAACTTGTTGAGGGGACTATAAACAGAATTTCTTATTTAACAAGAAACTGATTACCCTTTAAAATGCATATATTGGGCCACTGAGCTAACTCAGCAGATTAAGTGCCTGCTTACGCAAGGGCAGGGACCGGGGTTCGATCCCTAGGACCATATACCGTGCCTTCCCTGCTCCCGGGCATGCTGAGCCAGCCACATAGTCTGGGCATGGTGGCACACCTATAACCCCAGCACTGGGGAGGCTGAGACAGGAGGATCACTACGAGTCTGAGCTGCGTAGTAAGACCCAGTACCAAATACATAAAAAGATAAAGAACAAAGCAAAATAAAATGTATATATTTACTTTTAGCTATATTAAAGATTTCATTTAAATCGAACTATTTCTGAAAAATGTGCAGTTTTTTTTTTTTTTTTTTTTTTTTTCGTAATGATACAACTCCTTCTGGTAGATCGCCAGTATTGATATCATCCCTAACATTTTCTAGTAAATACCTCTGTGTTACTGCTAGACATAAGTGAGGATTTTTTTTAATAGAAAATAGAAGTTTTCAAGCTTCATTCATCTCAAACAATTTAATTAGATCATTAGTGAGTTGTAGCACCATAGTTACCTTTGACTTTTTTTCTTTAATAGAATTTCAGTTGTATCGTTTACTTTTATGAGTTTAAATGTATCTTTATTATTTGTATATAAAAGTAGGTTTTGTTCAAAATATCTTTTTTGCTGGGGATATAGCTCAGTGGTACAGCACCTGCCTGGTAAGCCCAAGGTCTTGAGTATGTTCCCAGTACCCAGCAAAAATACCCAACCAAAGAAACAACAAAAAATCCTTTTGGACCTGACCAGAGCTAACAAAATAAATTGTACTTTCACT